ATTAAATAAACGGTTCAAGGACAATCCACCAGTAAATGACATAAATGACATTCGAACCCAGGTTTATCTGGTTCTTTATAAACTAGGATTAAATGAACTTCATTTGCCAGAGTACCTCAGCCTAAGAGTGGCCCATACAACAGAGGTCTGTTTCTTACTGCTCTGTTACAGAAGTCTGGAGTTAGGCAGTCCGAAGGTGATAAGGTGGCCAGTAGGCAGTTGTGCCCCTTTCAGCTCCCTGGAAGGCGAAACTTGTCTTTACGAAGCAGGATGGCTGCTGGAGCTCCGTCCGTCGCGTTAATGTACCAAGAAGCAAGAATGGAGGAAGAGACAGAGGACAGGACCTCTTTCAAAAAAGATTTTGCCAGAACTCCCACAAAATAGTTCTGATGACATCTTAACTGGCCAGAACTTTGTCACATGGCTACAGCTAGCTCCAACTACAAGGAAGTCTGAGGACTGGGACACTTTAGCTGAGCTGCAGTATGCCCAGTTAAAAATCAAGGTCTTGTTCTTGAGCCTGAAGAGAGAAATATTTTGGGAAGAGACTCGCATAGACTCCAAACATATATTTTCTTTCTCTTTGGTTAATGAAACATCTTCATTTAATGGTATTTCATAGTTCTTACTTGTATATCTGCAGCTCTGACTCAAGGTGGAGGCCATTTCAGAAACGAGAATATAAGTAAAAAGATCCCCCAACAAGACATGTATGTAATTTTCCTATTATACAAGAGATATTTGTCAATTTTGGTTGTTTTGGTAAATTTATCTTTCTGAGATTTAAACCTGCTGTCACTCCTTTTAAAAATTACCCAGAAAGACCTCTATACTTGTGTACACAGTTTCCGTCATACTACTTGTAGCATTGCCCACAAACTCTTTAGCTTGTGAATGTGCAGAGATACCACCAGTTCTGGCAGAATGAGGAGGTGAGACCCAAAAAGAAGGGAGGGCTAGTCAGCTCTTAATTACTGAGTTACAGACACGGTGGGACAAGGAGAGCTGCTGAAGTGAAGTTCACAGGGAGTGCAGAGCGCGCCTTGTGGTGGGAACTCAACTCATCTCATGTTAGGTCATCAGGTGGTAAGGGAGGGGCCCGTCAGCTCGATTCCAAGCAGCATGTCTTGTCACTTGTGGACAAACTTTTTCCCCATTCCCTCCCTTCCTCTGTAATTATGGCTTCTGCTAATTGTCAGTAACATTAAGGGACATGTATATAATTCTACTTCATCTTTTACATTTTATCCTCCGTCAGAAAAGCTGATGGATGAAAAAGGAAGATAAAGCAAGGAAGGAATGAAACCCTTTACAATTTCTATGCTACAGCTTACATATACAGAAAACACAATTTCAACTTTAGCTTCTCTTTTTAAAAAATGGTGTTGATGTTTCAAGGCTATGTTTATTTTTTTGTTGTTTTTAAATTCTCTTTTTTTAAAGATTTTATTTATTTTCAGAGAGGGTAAGGGAAGAAGAAAGAAACACCAGTGTATGTTTGCTTCTCAAGCGCCCCCTACTGAATACCTGGCCAGCAACCCAGGCATATAACCTGACTGGGAATCGAACCAGCGAACCTTTGGTTCTCAGGTTAGCGCTCAGTCAGCATTCAATCCACTGAGCCACACCAGCCAGGGTCAACTCTTTTGTTTCTTTAATACAAAAAATTTTCTCTTTAAAAAGGAAAAGAAAAACAAGTATCCAAAAATAGTTTGAAACCACCCAGAGGCTACCACTAACCTTTAAAATACTGTCTTTCTGGTTTGTTTTTGTTACATTTTCATTTTTTTTAATAGTGGGAACTATTTTAAGTAAAAATTTGATCCACATAATAAACCCTGAAAATTACTGTCATACACAACATTGCCTAGTGAGGAAAGGGCACTGGTGGTTTTGGGTCTGGTGCTATATGATCCATGGAACCTTGAGTCAGCAAATTAATCTTGGGATTTCAGATACTTACCTGCAAATGTGGAAGTGGGAGCTGTCAAGAATAGGGGCCTTTTCCTCACTCAGATTTCTGTGTTATGACACATGAGACAGTCTGCAAAAATTACGTGGGATCACAGAGCTGGCATCTAGTCCAGATGTTTCTTAATTTGGGGTTCATGGGTAGATTCTAGAGTGTGTTATCACCATAATTGGGTGGAACAAATGCATGAACCCCAAATGTATCCTCTTCTGTAGGAGAAGGATCCATCATGTTTATTAGATTCTTAAGGAATCTGTGACCCAAGGAAGGTTAAGAACAACTGGTCCACTCTGACTTTATGGATAGGCATCTTCCATCCAGGAAAGTGAAGGACTTGCCCCAAATGCTCATCCTATGGATCTTCGTGCTTAGTAGGCCGGAAGGTGTTATCAGCTCCAAGCCCAGTGCTCTCCCCGGTGGCAGTGACCCATCCTGGACCCCCTCTGCCATGTGCCGTGATGGAAATAACTACTTAGTGTCTCCCCATCTGACTCAGTTCATGAAGACAGTATGGCATATACAGCCTTCTTGGGCAGCTTTTCCCCCTAATTCTTCCCTAACCCCTTCAGGCAGCCCTTGCTCCTAGAAGCAGGAGTGGAGATGTTATTAGGAAGGCTAACATAGTTAGGGTCCTCATCCCTGCTCCTTTATTTCTTAAGATTTTATTTATTTATTTTTAGAGAGGGAGGAAAGGAGAGAGAAAGGAAGGGAGAGAAACATCAATAGGTGGATGCCTGTCATGTGACCTGGCCCACAATTCAGGCATGTGCCCTGACTGGGAATCAAACTGGCGACCCTTGGTTTGCAGGCCAGCACTCAATCCACTGAGCCACATCAGCCAGGGCCCACTCCTTTATTTCTTAAAGAATATTTCAGCTCTCCATGTATTTTATCCTTGACCCCAGAAGTGAGGTGGTGAGTCTTCTCCCAAGACTTGACATAATAGTATAATAGGGCACAGTGTCTGATGCTGGAGGAACATCCTCAGATTGGCAGTTCATAGGTGGAGGGGTCAGGGAGTGGATTTGTGTCCCTCTCCACCACACAGGAAGCAAAACAGCCTCAAAACAGTTGTACAATGGGAACACTGTGGTATTTGTACTGAGAATTCATCAGGCAAAAACCTTGTTTCTGAAACCCATAGTGACCTTTTCTGAGCGGCCTTAGCCCTACATGAGAAGGCAAATACCGCCAGATTGCCTGACATTTCCTTTTTTAAATTTCAAGCATTCCTGATTTCACATCGGCTATTGATCTGTTGGTTTGCAGTCCTGATGCAATTAAGTGAAGTCACTTTCACTGCTATGATAGTCTTAACATAAGCAACTGCTTTGAAACCACAGTCCCTGCCCTGTGTCTCCTCGCTCCCAGCGCCCCTCCTCCAAGCCCACCAGCCCACAGCGCGCAGTGTGCATGGTGCGGGTTGCAGAAAAGGGCATTTTTCTAAACCTGAAATTTAAATCTTCAAAGTTGAATTATGTACCATTGTACTGTGTCCATTTTTAAAGATCACATTTATTTGCTTATTCCTTACTTTAAATCCCTCTTGGCAGAAGCTTTAAAAAACAAAAATCGCTCTAAAGAAGGAGAGTGTGTTGATTCTAGTCAGTCACCCGAATGTAATGTGGAATTCAGCTAGGGAATGGTCTGGGCTCCACCTGGAAATGACAGTGGAACAGATGAGAAGTAGTGACTCAGAGAGCAAAGGTTGAAAGGTGGTATTGCGCTGGGATTAGTGTTTTGAATGGATCTTAGCGATAGTCCCATCCAATGGTCCAAAAAGACCCAGAAGGCATGTGTATGGTAGGTGTATGTGCAGCCGAAGCTCAGAGTTCAGAACTTGAAAGATGAGCACTTGAGATCCTGGAAGTGCATACATAGTACCTACTCCTTGTTAATGTGGTGAAAAACACTTTTTTAAAACTTGTTGACACTATTTAGATGTCCCTCATTTCCCTCCCCCTGCCGCCCCCCACCCCCGACCATGTTGTTGTCTGTGTCCATGGGTTAGGCTTATATGCATATATGTTCTTGGGCTAATCTCTTCCAGTTCTCCCACTCCCATCCCCTCTGAGATCTGTCAGTCAAGAATATTCTTTCTAGCCCTGGCTGGTGTTGCTGAGTGGATTGAGCCTGGGCCTGTGACCAAAAGATCATTGGTTTGGTTCCTAGTCAGGGCACATGGCTGGGTTGCAGGCCAGGTCCCTACTTGGGGGCATGCAAGAGGCAACCAATCAATGTAGTCACATTGATGTTTCTCCCCCTCTCTTTCTCTCTCCCTTCTCTTCTCACTAAAAGTAAATGAAGTCTTTTAAAAAATATTCTTTCTAGCTTCAGTGAACCTGAGAGAATTGGCCAGGGAAAGATATCTAGATAGATTGTTCGTTGGTTTCTGCTCCTCAGAGAGGGCCTGCTAGCACAGCTGCATCTGGTCAGTCGAGTCTGGCCGGGGGACAGTGAGGAAGAATGTGCTGGCAGGGAAATTAACAGGCCAGCTCTAAGAGGAGGCCATCTGAAGAAATGAGCTCTCCCATTTTTTCTTAAAACTCGGCCCCTTGTCTGTTGTCCACGCATCAGTGTGGGTGATTGAATTGCAAAAAAATGAATTGACCTATTCAACTTTCATATTTTTTTAAAGGTAAAAGCTAATTTGGCTCTGCTTTATCCTTCTTATGTTAAAAATCAGGCAGCGTCACACCAGCTCTTAGCAGCATTCTTGCTGAGAACTCTGGGAAAGCCCTTAGAATGAGGAGCTTTGCTCTTTGCCCTGATTTGACAATCCAAAATTAGGTCTCATGGCCCATACACAGCAGTTTCCTCCTGTTACATTTAGGGTGATCATGCGACCCAGCTTCCTGTAAGACACCTGATTTATGCCCTTTGTCCCCTGAGATTAATAGCACCCAAGGCGTCCCATTTGAGATGCTACATTTTTTATATGATCACACTAATTACTGGGAATGAAAGGAAGGAAATGAGTTTCTGCTGAAAGGTCTAACCTTGTGCTCCTTTCCTTCTGTTGCCGCAGCTCCACTTGGCAGCCCTGGCATCGCTAAAAGGAGACATAGTGGAGCTTAATAAACGTCTGCAGCAAACGGAGCGGGAACGGGACCTTCTGGAAAAGAAATTGGCCAAGGCACAGGTAAGAGATGTGGAAAGACTTTTGACATTGTGTGTGCATGTGTGCGCGCACGCATGTAAGTGAGAGAGAGAGAAAACGAAGATAAGGAATTTCGACAAAACAAAGTATAGCTTAATGAGCAAACATTCACATAACCACTAACCAGTCAAGAAATAGAACTTGCCATGAGCACTGGCTTGTGAATCAAAGGGTTGCTGGTTGGATTCCCAGTCAGGGCACATGCCTGGGTTGCAGGCCAGGTCCCAGTAGGGGGAGCTTGAGAGGCAACCATACATTACTGTTTCTGTCCCTCTCTTCCTCACTTCCCCTCTCTAAAAATAAATTTAAAAAAAGAAAAGAAGAGGGAGGGAGGGAGGGAGGGAGGGAGGGAGGGAGGAAGAGACAACTTCCCAGTCATCCCAATCCCACTTTCCCTCCCATGAAGGTGACCACTACCATGACTTTTATAGTCCTGTTTCCTGTTTCTTCAGTTTCCCACTGAAGTCTGTAAACAGTAAAGTTTAGTCTTACCTGTTTAAAAACTGTTTTCTTTACCCTGACCAGTGTGGCTCACTTGTTTGAGTATCATCACTTAACTGAAAGGTTGCGGGTTTGATTCTCCGTCAGGGTACATATGTATGTTGTGGGTTCAATGCCTGACCGGATGCCTGGATGCTTACTGAAGGCAACCAACCGATGTTTCTCTTTCACTGCAATGTTTCTCTCCCTCTCTAAAAGCAATGAGAAAATGTCCTTGGGTGAGGATTAAAAAAAAAAAAAAACTAAACAACAACAAACTTTTCTTTGAATCTGTTAATTTACAGGTTTTTCCTCTGTTCTTTGTTTGCTTGATGATTAATCTGTTACATCCTGGCCACTTGACCTATAGTTTCCCACAGTATGGATGTTGCTGGTCATGAGTGTTGCACACTCATGTTGTAGTTCAACACGTTCCTCTGTCCCTTGTATTTCCTGTAAATTGGCAGCTGGATCCAGAAGTTCAGTCAGATTCATGTCTAGACCCTTTGGCGTGACATTCGAGGGTATTTGTTTTTTCCACCTGGCAGCACATACTGTCGGGTTGTCTTGCTTTCTGTAATGTTGGCAACTCTTGATTCTCAACACCTGAGTTCATTGATTCATTAAGACTTACAAATCATGATATTTTAGTTCTACTATTTCTTTTTTAGTTATTCTTTCTTAGTTATTAATTACTTTCAAGAGACAACCTCCATCATCTCTGATTTATTGAAACAATGGTAAAGTTCATAGAGGAAAAGCAGAATGAATGCTTTATTCCTTTCATTTATTTAACATTTTTCAAGGTAATGAATTAATTGCCTATGATCTTCTGAAAGTACCTAATTATTTTTAGAATATTGTTATGAATTTATGCATTTAAACATTTTGGTTTCAATTCATTGTAATTATTTTTCTTGTAGAAGCTCAAATTATAGTATATTTTAGTAAGAACTTCTTCAAATTGGCTTCTGAGTCTTTTGACATGACCCTAATAGTTATTCCAGGCTCATCTAGTACATTTGTGTCCCAAACCTGGAATTAACCATGCTCCAAATTAACCCTGGTTTCACTCAGCAAAAAATAGTGCTTCAAGACCACAGTCTGGATGCTAAGAGTGCTTATTGCTTCTACCTAATTTTTTTTTTAAACATTAAGTATATTTTATTGACTATGCTGTTACAGTTGTCCCATTTTTTCCCCTTGCTCCCCTTCACCCAGTACCCCCATTGCCTCCAGGAATCCCCCCCTTAGTTCATGTCCATGGGTCAGAGTTCTCTGGCTTCTCCATTTATATATGTGATCTCCACTCCTGTGATTCTGTTCCTGTTCTAGTTGTTTGCTTAGTTAGGTAATTGTTTTTATAGACAACCAGGAAATTATTTATCTGTCTACATGTGTATGTATAAATTTTAAGATAAAATATCATAGGAGTTATAGTAATTGCTCCTACTTAAATTGCAAAAAAAATTGAATTGTGCTGTACAAGTTTAATATTTTCCAAAGATAAAAGCTAATTCAATTTTTAATATATTTTATTGATTATGCTATTACAGTTGTCCCATTTTTTAATCCCCTTTATCCCCCTCCGCCCTGCACTGCTGCGCCCCCTGGCACACACACTCCCCCCCCCCACACTCAGTTCATGCCCATGGGTCATACATATAAGTTCTTTGGCTTCTCCATTTCCTATACTATTCTTAACTTCCACCTGCCTATTTTGTACCTACTATTTATGCTGCTTATTGCCTGTACCTTCTCCCCCATTCTTCCCCCTCCCCTCTGTTACTGTTCATAGTTTTTTATCTTTTTCTTAGATAAGTCCCTTTAACATTTCATATCATAAGGGCTTGGTGATGATGAACTCCTTTAGCTTGACCTTATCTGGAAAGCACTTCCTCTGCCCTTCCATTCTGAATGGTAGCTTTGCTGAATAGAGTGATCTTGGATGTAGGTGCTTGCTTTTCCTGACTTTGAAAACTTCTTGCCAGCCCCTTCTTGCCTGCAAGGTTTCTTTTGATAAAACAGCTGACAGTCTTACAGGAACTCCTTTGTAGGTAACTATCTCCTTTTCTCTTGCTGCTTTGAAGATTCTCTCCTTATCTTTAGTCTTGGGTAATGTAATTATGATGTTCCTTGGTGTGTGCTTTCTTGGGTCCAACTTCTTTGGAATTCTCTGAGCTTCCTGGATCTCCTGGAAGACTATTTCCTTGGCCACATGGGGGAAGTTCTACTTCGTTATTTTTTCAAATAGGTTTCCAATTTCTTGCTCTTCCTCTTCTCCTTCTGGCATCCTTATGACTCGGATATTGAACTGTTTAAAGGTATCCCAGAGGTTCCCTAAGCTTCTTATCACTTTTTTCAACTCTTGTTTCTTCATTCTGTTTTGGTTGAATGGTTATTTCATCCTTTTGATCCAAATCGTTGATTTGACTCCCGGTTTCCTTCCTTTCACTGTTGGTTCCCTGTATTTTTCTCTATTTCACTTTGCATAGCCTTCACTTCTTCCTCTGTTTTGTGACCATACTCAACCATTTCTGTGAGCATCCTGATTACCAGTATTTTAAAATGTGTATTTGATATGTTAGCTATCTCTACATCGCTTAGTTGTTTTTCTGGAGTTTTGATCCGTTCTTTCATTTGGGCTATATTTCTTTGTCTCAACACTCCTGGTAAGTTGTAAGGGGTGGAGCCTTAGGTATTCACCAGCATGGGGCACCCATGTTGCTACATTGTGGTTCTTTCTTGGGCGGGGGGGGGGTCTGAGAGGGAATAGTGCTGCTTGCTGGGCTCTCCAGCAGCTTTCAGTCACTTTCCCTGCTACACACAATCAAATTGGGTTCTTGTGGTGCTGATTCCCAGGTAGGTGGGTTTGTATATGATCTAGGACCCTTTGGGTCTCTCCAACGAGCACTCCTGTGAAGCTGGAAGTTTCTCCTGCCACAGCAATCTCCACGAGATTTTATAGCCAGAGGTTTTGAGGCTTTCTTTTCCTGCACTGGAATCCTGGGTTGTGTGGTTTGTCTTGCTCCCCAGTTGTTCCTCCACCTCTATTGTCACGTAAATGTGGTACTACTACCCAGTCAGCCAGCTGCTACCTCACCTGTCTTGTCCTCCAGCTGCTGCCTTGCCGCATGTCCTCTCTGCACCAGCTGCTCATCTCTGCCCATCCTAACAGTCTGGATGAACGTTTCTCCCTTTACTCCTTGGTTGTCAGACTTCCATACAGTTTGATTTTCTGGCAGTTCTGGTTGTTTTTTGTTTTTAAATTTGTTGTTATCCTTCTTTTGGTTGCGTGAGGAGCTAAAGTATGTCTACCTACGCCTCCATCTTGGCTGGAACTCCCTAATTTAATCCTGTCTTGCCCTTGCTTCTTATGCTCAGAATCAAGCAGCCCAAGCCAGCCCTTAATATCGTCCTTGTGGAGTTACTTGGGGAAGACTACAAGATACTTTTACTTAGCTTCTTCTGCACTTTATCTGTATCTTCTTTCTTTTCATACTAAGAATCCTGGTTCTTAAGGTTACAGAAGATGATTGAATTAGAGTATTTTATAATTACTTACTAGTTTTATTCCATATTTTATACAAACAATCTTAGGATAACATTAACATTACCATAACAAATATAGTTACTGAGAAGAATTTTAGAAAGTTCTTTTTCATTATGCTCTCCTCATTTCCCAAATTTTTTGCAGTTGTACTATATTCACACTGTCTGACCATATGGCCCTTGCATCTTTTACTCTCTCCCTTTTAGTCTTCAACAAGTAACTATATGTTTAATGTTTGCCCTGGTCCTTGTGTCGTCCCTCCTCTATTTTTAGATTCCTCAGGGAGGACTCATTGAAATAATCTCCAAGTTCTTCCTTGTTAATAACAGTATGTCTGTGTCCTTCATACTGAAAGGCATTTTTGATGGATATAAAACTCTTGGCTTATCTTTTCTTTACTTGAATATGTTTTTTTAATTCTCTTTTGGCAGAGAGTGTTGCTCTCAAAGTCTAATAATAATACAACTTGCTTTTCTCTCACAAACACTTATTCTAGATATCTACAGCATTTTTACTTTTTCTCTTCTTTTTAGTTCAGTAATTTTACTGGAGTAACTTTTTTTTTTAAAGATTTTATTTGTTTATTTTTAGGGAGAGAGGAAGGGAGGGAGAAAGAGAGGGAGAGAAACATCAATGTGTGGGGTTGCCTTTTGTGCGCCCCCTACTGGGAACTTGGTCTGCAACCCAGGCATGTGTCCTGACTGGGAATCGAGCCAGCCACCCTTTGGTTTGCAGGCCAACACTCAAGCCGCTGAGCCACACCAGCCGGGGCTTACTAGGGTAGCTCTTCATCTTAGTCATTCTGGTTTGGTGTTCTCAAGTTTGCTGTGTATTGTTTTGATTATATTTTTAAATCAATGTTTTTAAGTTCAGGTATGGTTTTTTTGTATGTTTTTTTAAATTCTAGTGTGTTTAATATTTAGTTCCCTTGCTTTGATTCTTCAAGGAT